TTTTTTCATGAAAAGCAGTGAAATGATTACTACTTTAACTGTTAATAACTTTTCAACGAATGGCGAGCGACGGTTAAAACTTATTGGAGGTCACTCAGGGTCACGACCTTGACAACATGTGTCAAGGTCATGGTCATCGGAGGGTGGTCCGTTATAATGCATAATTACCTACCGGCATTGATAATTGCCTGACATCTCCGAGGTATACTTTCCACTAAGTTGACTGCGTATTCGTTCGGTAAAGACCTCCAAATGAGACGAATTTGTCATGGCAGCTGCTTCAAAGTGCATACTCTTTTTCCTCGAAGCTTGTGCTTGAGATATGCCCACACATTTTCAATGGGATTTGCATCTGGCGATTGCGATGGCCAATCAAGTGTGACGATGCCAGACCGCTCTTTCCATTCGGTGCAAAGCTTGCTCCGGTGTTTTGGGTCGTTATCTTCCTGTAAGATCCAGTCCTCGGTTTTTTTTATGAAACATCGTTCAGCAGTCAGCAACAAATACTTTTCATAAATTTTAAGCATTTTCGGAGCATTTAAATTGTATGTAAACAGATGTAATGCTCCAAAACCCTGTTTTGAAAAGCAGCCCCAAAGATGAACTTTTACAGGGTGTTTAACGGTCCGTTGTATTAATCTATTGGTCAAGGTTGACCAGGAACGTCGGATGGTAATATATCCCCAAACAGAAGCTTCGTTTAAAAATCACGTTGCTCCAATCTCGGTCCAAATTCTCCTTTGCCCAAGCGAGTCTTTTCATCACATGTTTTTCGCCTAACAGTGGTTTCTTCATTGTGCTTCGATATTTGATGTTATGCGTAAGGAGATGGGTTCGAATAGTTGTATGTGATATTTCTATACCCTTCTGTTTTAATTTTGCTGCTCCTTGTCGCAATGTTAAAGTCGGGTTCCGCTTAAACAAATTCACAATTTTTTTTTCCATGTTCGGTGTCACTTTGCTATCGAGCCACGTTCTGGCAAGTCATCGACATTTTTTGTCTTCTTATATTGCTGAACCCACTTAGCGACGAACGATTTTGACTTTCCCATGTATTTAGCAGCCGCTACATATGACATTTTTGGTCCTTTCGGGTGGGAACAAAGGAACACAGCCTCGTAGCTCGATGCGTATGCGGCACTCATAACGGTTACTGTGTTTCTCAGATAAGAATTCGACACCAACTGAATCTTTTGTGACAAAGCATTCACGACAAAGGTTCCATCTATTGACTCACACAAAAACTAGGACGATATTTGAAGCCAACTGCCATTTATGTCGTACACGCTCTTACTTTACAGACTGTAATCTCCTATCTGTTTGACCTACATATGTTGCATCGCAATCTTTGCACTCAATTTTGTATACAACATTTTCATTCGAATTCTTTGAGAGAACGTCTTTTTGAACTTTTATAAATTTATTTAATTTATTATTACTCTAAAATGCTGGTTTTATGTTTTCGTTCCTACAAATAGTTACAAATTTTTCCGAGTTTAACGAATTATATGGTATCAAGAACCATGGAACCCTTTCTAAACTATTATCGTTCCTAGAATTATTCAGTTCAGTCTCCACAGAAATGCGTTTATAGAATAAATGTTTTAATCTTATGGATATTGTTTCAAAAACAAAATCCACAGGATAGTCATTTTTTAATAATGTTTTAATTATTAACTTAATGTTTTTTTGATGATATTTAGGATCCGAAAGTAGTACCGTTCTGTCAGTCATACCCATCACTATGCCTTTTTTATGAGTCATGGAGTGTGCAGATAAATAATTTAAGTATCTACCTGAAAACGTTGGTTTATGATACCAGTCAAATTCTAACCCATTTCCATTTTTAATAATCCTTATGTCTAAAAAATTTATTTTATCACCCCCCACTTCCAACGTAAACTGTAGTCTATTATGAAATGAATTGAACCCTGCTACAACAGATTCGATTAAGTCAGAAGGGACTGCCGTAACAATATCGTCAACATATCTAACATAAAATGGTAAATCTATACCTATGGTCTTAAGCCCCTCTGTCTCCAAATCACGCAGTACAAGGTCCGCAATGATAGGAGAGAGAGGCGACCCCATCGGAGTTCCGTGATTTTGTTTATAAAACTCGTCATTAAAACTAAAAACCGTCGAGTTTAATATTAATGTAATTGCTTTCATAAATTCCTCCCTCGGGATACTTGTCGCTTTTTTAAAAAAATCCTATCTTTTATCTACACTTGATATAGCTAATTCTATCGGCACATTTGTAAACAGACAAACCACATCTAAAGATATTAAGGAGTAATTATCAGAAATCCGCATGTTTCTCGGTTTTTTTATTATCTGAAAACTATTCTCAATTTCAATTATTAATTGGTCTCTCCGCATTATTGGATATTATATCATGCAAAAAGGGAGCCAAAGAATATGCCGGACTATCTATAGATGATATAATAATCCTGAATGTATTGCCCGGTTTATGCACTTTCGGCAAAGAATAGCACATCGGTAGTATTCCATCACTACATGATACTTTCTTGTACGTCTGATCGGAAATAAAATTCTTCTTTTTCCATCTTGTGAGCAGCTCTCGAATGTTCTTTATCAAATTGTTCAATGGATTTCTCGTCAGCTTGGTATAAGTGTTAGGATCTTGCAGCATTTGAATGACTTTATTAATATATTATAACCGTATAAAATGGAAAATTAAATTTAAATAAAAAATTTTTCATGTTAAAATACTTGGCGCTACTAGATCAAGTAAGAAAAACTATAAAAACAATTTAAAATTAGAATAGTAATTAATAAATATAAGTAATAAAAGGTAATTATAATTTAAAATTAATAATAAGAGTAATAATAAATTTAAACTTATATAACTTTACACTGAATAAAAATAAATTTTACTATTTATTTCTCTTTCATAACGCATGTTTACAAATCTAAATTTATTTTTCTCAGACTTAAACTTAATAGTATTCACAACGTTCATAATTTACACGACTCTATAACTCAATCGCATATATACACATTACAAGATACTTTAACTCTCATTGGAAATGCTTCTTATTTTTCTTATTTTTTTAAATATTCATATTTTTTAATATGATTCTAATTTTCCTGATTAATATGTTACTTTTCTAAATATTACATTTTTGAAGTATTACATTCTTATTTTTTTTATTTTTCTTATTTTTCAAATAATACATTCATATTTTAGTACTATGTTATTATATCAAGATCGAGATCTAGCAGCGCCAAGTGTTTTTATATGAAAAATTTTTTTATTTTTAAATTAAATTTTTCATTTTATACGGTTAACTCTTTAATTTTTGTGGTAACACTTAAATTGAACAAGGTAACGCAATTTTGTGGTAACGTTTGTATATTATTTTGAAAGAGAATTAAGTAACCACTACTTTAGTTGGAAGAGAAAATGTCTTTGAATGAACTGTAATATAGTCATTTCATTTAAGAGGAATTTAAACCATTTGGATTGGAATAGGAAGATCCTTCAATAAGATATACGTATACTTAGGTTTCATTGTACAAAAATTAAAGATAGTATTATTTGGATTAAATAAATAAAGAAATGGGATTTGGCGCCAGTACTTGATATATCAAACCCTTTATAGAAATGATACATATCATTAAAGTCAATATTATTTATTTAATTTGGTATCCGAATTACATGAAATTTAACTTGGCGCCAATTGTTGATATCAAATCTTTTTTACGATCAATACATAAAATTTTGAGGAAGTTAACTTGGCGCCAATTGTTGATATCAAATCTTTTATATGAATGATACATATCATTAGAGTTAAGTAATATTATATACAACGGAATGGTTTCACCAACTCGATTAAGTCGAATCAACCATAAGTGTCAACTATAAGTGATCAATTTCACTAAACAGCAAACGCGATTAGTCAGTTCCACGGCGAATTAGGTAATTGGCGTTGGTGAAACTGGTCCAAATAATTTGTACGAAAAGCACGCACGCTTAGCGCTTTTTTTACCTTTTTTAAAAAAGGTAAGCTTATATAAATAATAAGAAACAGTATCATTTGTGTTTTACTTTTTAATTTGGTAAATAAAATATTATATACAAAGGACCTCAGATTTTACCCGTTTAAAATAAGTAGCCAGCATAAAGTATACATTAGAGATCCAATAAACCCCATTCGTCATACAGTGGCAGTCTTTTTATCATTAACTTTATAAAATTCTCGCTTTTGACACCTGGATTTCCATCAGAGCTTAACTCATCCAAATCTTTCGCCTTAGCCTTAGAGCATAGCAAAAGCGGTAAAATGACGAAGAATACTATCATTTCATAGCTAGCTTTTCGCTTTGTGGTAACCTTTAGTTCTTCCATGGTGGGCGTCTGTGTTTTGCAATTCAATTGTTTCATAGTCACTGATAAGGTGTCAAGGTATTCGTTCAATGGAATAATTTTTTTGTTTTCCATGATATCCAAAGAAGGACTTGTATTGAGAAAATATATCAAATCATGTACCGGTATTGTGTAAACGCACAGTTGGAAGTCTACCTGTAATCAAACGAATTCTTACGATCGGAATGTCATATTCAGAAAGTTTCATAACAAGATTGATAGTTTGCGCGGACGACATGGATCAAAAAGAGACGAGTATATAAAACTGAATGCGATTAAACAGCTGAGGTTATTGTATTATTCATAGCATATTGCATTTTGAAATATTTTCTGTTATCACTGCCTGTTTGTCTTGATCACTAAAGCGGATATTGCGCGGATAATTAAACAGCGCGTTAATACTACATATAATAGCGTTTCTCTTTTAAAATATTACCTATTCATTTTGTTTATTTATACTTAAATTTTTATTATTGCACACAACTATAAAAGTTGTCATAAAAATCATGAAATGTAGATTAATGAAATAAAGTGACCGAAATATGTTACATGTAAATTGTGTTGATAACAAAATTTACATCTTTTCAAATTAAAAAAAATGTATTTTTAACATAAATCCACTGTTCCAATAATGTATATGTTCTATCACATGTAAGTATAAATTAATAATTTTTTAAATTATTTTATTTAATTTTAAATTCTTAACAAGAAAATAAAGAGCACATAAGAGTAAAATAAAGTATTTCAAAACATGAAAAATCAAAAGAAATTATGAATAATATAATATTCTATAATTGATTAAAATATAACATATTTCGGTCTCATGATTGAGCCTTCTTCAGATATACGTACAGGAGATGTTACATTGGAAGAGAGCAGTTGAATAGATAGAAAAATTTATACATATAGTGATGATGGCTAGTGAGAAGTTTTGAGAAACGGAAATCACTTGCAAACGACTGGATGACCGGTTGTTTGACATTTTCTGCTTCTGGTAACAAGCCAAGTTAGAAATAAATTAAGAGAATAATAAAAAATTAAGTAAAATCGTCACTCTGGTCAAAACTCATGAGTGTTCTATTGTTTAATTTTTTATTATCCTCTTAATTTATTTCTAACTTGGCTTGTTATCAGAACCGGAAAATATCAAACAACCGGTCATCCAGCCGTTTGCGAGTGATTTCCGTTTCTTAGCAAAGCTTCTCATCACTATATGTATAATTTTTTCTATCTATTCGACTGCTCCCTTTCAATGTAACATCTCCTGCATGCATATCTGAAGAAGGCTCAATCGTGAGACCGAAACATGTTATATTTTAATCAATTATAGAATATTATATTATTCATAATTTCTTTTGATTTTTCATATTTTAAAATACTTTATATTTTTGACTCTTATGTGTCCTTTATTCTTTCGTTATTGTTTTTAAATTAAGAGTCCTTCGTTCTTGTAATAACTTATTTAAATTCTTAACTGTAATAAAATCACGTTTATAATAAATCTACTGAGTACACATTTAGAGTAAGTACTTTTTTTTATGACGTGATGATACTTACAAAAATATGATCAATAGGTTTGCCATCATTGTCATATCTGAATAACATATTGTTCACATGAAAATCACCATGATTAATGACATTAAATTCATCCTTACAGAGTTTAGTTGCATCTATTCCTATTTGGTACATATGATTGGAGAGTTTACCAATTTGGTAGTAATTTTTTGCGAGTATCTAGCAATACAAACGAAATAAATGTAAAATTGTATGATATTATGTGTAAAAATCACACAGATATGCGCTCTAATATGTATTTGTATGCCGTCATGCCGTCACGTCATGTGTGATCGTGTTCATGTTCAATGTTGCCAATAGTGCCAATCTGCTGATTAGATAGAATCAAAAGCCATCTATTATCGAATAAATGAACAGTACATTTTTCCTCTGGTCTGAACGTCGTCTATCTGGTCGATGGTCGACGTTAATAAAATCAAAGATTTCGGATTTTGCATCGCAATATCTCCGCTCGTAGAGCATGTAGAGAAAAAATTAAAACACTTTTATTTATATTTAGACCGGTCGCAATCGATTGAGCACACTTAAAACTTGACCGGTTCAGCCCTTATTGAGATCCGATAATCTCGATCTGGCGCAACTCGCCGGCTCGCGTAAAGTAGCCACGGCAGTGTCGCTGCGCGTAGCTTAGCGCTGAGACACTACCAGTGTCTCCAGATAATAATATAAATAAAAAATATTTAATTGAAAAATAAAAAAAAATTTAAAAAATATGACACTTACACCACCAATTTTCCGGTTCAGGATCCGGCTCGTACGGTCGGAGACCGAAAAGTTCTGCCAGGAACAGGCTGTCGTCGTCCCACACATCCATAAACTGTTCCCGAAAGAACTTTTCCGCCCGCCTCTCCGCCCGCACCATCCGTCAATGGTAGGGGTTTATGAACCCTCTGATGCTTATATCACAGCGATTCGTCTCCTGAAAAAAAAAGAGTACAAATTGAATTAGAATTAGAATTAGAATTAGAATTAGAATTTATAATTTATAATTAACGTATCAACGGGATCTTGAGGATCTCCATCTCGTTGGCCAATTGCAATCTTTCGACCCGTTGGTTGTCAACCATGAGATACTGAGGAAAAAAAAACGTTATGAATTTAAAAAAATAATAAAATAAAAAAATCTAGCAATAAATTTAAAAAATTGATAAAATAAAAAAGATCTAGCAATAAATTTATTTAAAGTTTTCAGTACATTATCAATTTAATTTAACTTGTGATATTATTACAGTAGTTTAATTAAAGTTCGGAAAAATATCGGCGCGCAGTTTGAATAACTACAAAAATATGATATATGCATGCACATATATAGGATATAGATAATTCACTGGGAATTATTTAGGCAAAAAAGATCTAGCTTTGACCGTCATAGGTCCGAATATGTTTATACTTAGTAAAAAATCTGACATATACAAAAACAGAAAAACTACTTACTCCTTCCACCGGGTACTCGTACCGGATCTCCAGGATATCTCTCAGGTTGCTCATTATACAGGCCGGGACTGGTTGTTTTTTTACAATTTTTTCTATAAAAACACATTATCACTTTCACTTGCACTGAATGACATAAACGTGCAAGAGTATTCTACCAGTTAAATGGTAGAATACTCTTGAACGTTTTATAAAAAAAAATCACTCGCGTCAAAATACTTCTGAATGCGAACAAAGACTGACGCCGAGATCCATCCTTCGCTTCAGCGAGCATGCCTAGTCTTTATCGGTAGACAGCAGTTGTATATAAACAGTTTGGATCATAAGTGCCTCCATGAAAAAAGCTATCGCTTATATCGTCGTGGCACTATTTATAATATAGCCTAAAAATCGCGATGCATTGAGGCGTTGCTAAGTAGTGCGCATAATGATATAAAATAAAAAAATCAATTTTGATCTACGAATTGCGCACATTTATTTTCACACCTGTTATTCCCTTTTTTCTTTTTTCTTATACATATGTTCATACATACGTTCATACATATACATATACATACATACGTTTATTCGTGCATGCATACATACGTATATGATTCGTGACACGGCGCGTTAAGAGAAGTACTGGCAGATGTTTATATAAACTAAGTGTGAGAGCGCGTCGAGGCATAGGATAGATGGTTGAATGGGAAGCAAAGACAATACATATATATTTGATGTGAACGACAAAATTTTTATTCACATATTATTACATCGGTTTTTTTTGTCATACGTATTAAAAACTAAAGCAAATAGCTCGCAATCGACGAGCTGATGCTTGTTGAAGACGTTGCTATCGCGTATAGCGTCTTCAGACGCGATGATGGACAAACGCGTATACTTGATATCAACCGTATCGACGAGTTGGACTAATCGTTCGAACGTTACATCGATACATCCGTCAAACGCGAACATGCGGCCTAGAGTCGTTTCAGTCATCGTCATGCGTACGGACGAACAATCGAGGCGTATGAGCGTAGCATCGTTCAGCGTACACACTCTAACAGTTAGCGGTTCAATACTTATGAAATTGTCCATGTGTTCGTTCCGCAGCATCTTGTAAATATTCCATCGCTGCTCGTAGAGGCCCTTCCACATTTCGAGAGACAGCGACAGTTCGTGTCCGCGATGATCTTTCAGAGCGATCTCCACGAAACTCGGCGGACCAACGCTGATTTCAATTTCCAAGTACTTGTAACCCATAGCCATCAGATCGTAACGTCTGCTCAGTAAACGCATCGCGCGATGCTCCATGCTGTGTACATACATAACGTTAAAAACGTTTCTTTTTTGCGTATAGATCGTTGAAACTTACATGTTACTGCAGCACTTCTTCGTTACGTACGATGCGTTGCTCTCTTTGGCGAAATACATTTTCAACTGTTCGTACAAGCGGTTATCACAAGACTGATCGTACCCGCGTAAATTGCGACGTATATGGTAAAACTTCTAGAATCGAAGAGAGGATAACCCGTTCCCTTTTTTTTCCAAGAATTGCGAACGTGTTGCGACACGTTTTATCGCGTTTTTTCTACGTTTTTTCTTTGTTCGCGAGTTTATCAGTGTTTATACTTTACGGTTTATATTTCGATGGCATTGATGATGATGATGACGTTGACGACTTTGATGCTTTTTCCCCAGGACATTCCTAATATCTCGTTTCTTCCTTCGATGCCGACTTTGATGCTTTTTCCACAGGGCATTCCCAATATCTCGCTTCCTCCTCCTTCTTCGGCGGTGGACTTGGCGGACTTGGCGACAAGGGACGGTATCCTTTTCGCTCGACCGATTTTCGATGTAGGTAGTCTCTTACTCTATCCATGTCTTAACGCTCGTAATCGAAGATTATGATTGAACGAAAAAAGCCTTATACACTGCCTATATACATTGCATATAGGTACATATATACACATTCATACATACACGTTCGTACATGCACATTCATACATACATACGTTCATACTTACGAGTACATGTATCACAAAAGAAGGGGAAACAGAAATACGTAATCAATACATTAACGTAGTTTCATTTAAAAAATTTTCTTTTGCAACCATCAGTTATATATTTTAAATACATTTTGTAATGCGCATATCTTAAGATGTAGTTCGCATCGCATAGTATTAGCAACATCCATAACAGTTAACGATTCCATGTCTTTATACACTTTGTCCAAAGTCTCGATGTGCATGCGTTTTCGTTCATCGTCCAGAAGCAAGTTCCATAGCCACGTTCGTTTCTTACGTCCCTTGACGTACATGATTGCATCATCTTCAAATACAGCCGCTGTGACCAGGCGTTTCGCTTTGCTGTACGGGATCATCCCGTCCTCCCATCGCAATCCATGGTGATAAGCACTCAACCAGGAAGCGCAAGACCTGCCGGATCGTGTCAAAAATTTCCATGGCGCAGGACTCGTAAAAATGTAATGCGTGAGAACGGTCCCCTGTTTCAGCACCGCCACTTCCTTCGTGATAAATTTCTTGTTAACGATGAATCCTTGAAGATCCACGAACGTTAGCACGAACATGTTGTCGAGAAGACTGTGGTCGGTTGTGGCGTATCGTAGATTGTATATCGTGTCGGAGGATGTGCTTAGGTGATTTTGCGCACAAGGTTGGTGAATGGATTATACTGAACCACGCGATCGTGTATGATGAGATACACGTTATAATAGGCTGTTGTATTTGCAGGCACGTCCTTCTTACATTCGAAGTCTAATCGCACGTTCATGGCACTCTTGACCAATTCGTTCTGTCGAGAGCAATCGATGATCACGAACGGACCATTAAGTAAAAAAGTTGTAAAGGTGAGACTCGGCTCGAGATACTCGTATCCGTAGTAGCACTTGCAGAAACGTGCGTATATGTCGTACAGAATCGCATATCTATTTTTATCGAAATCCAGATTCAAGTCATCGTACGGATAACATTCCGAGTTCAGGTAGAGTTTCGCACTGGTTAATTTGCAGTCGTCGAAACGACTTATATTCTCGGACATGATGTTTTTTCGACTTGTTTGCAAAGCGAAGATGACGTAGCGCGTCTTCTCGAGCTAAGTAGCCATCTTGATGGCCCACGAATGCTGGGTTGTGCTTTGCAAGAACGGAAACTCGTATAGATCCCACAAGCGAAAAGCCATGCTCAGATATCATCCGCTCTCCAGAGCGCGGAGCATCACCAGCTTATTTATCTGGCTCAATAATACGTGCAGCATTCGCCACTGTATTTCAATAATTCGAGTATCGGCTCTGTCACCAGATTTTCAGTCAGGCAATTGTTGTCGTTGCGCGTTCGTATTAAAATCAACTTGTGACGAGCGTTGACCACCACGCGTTTGTAATCTTCGCAGAATCCCAGCAGTACATAGAGCGGTACACAGAAATTAAAGTATCCGGCGTCAGTAATCAACGCGTCCCAGCCGGCATTCCGCAAAATCACGCTTCTGTCGGACGACACTATAACATAGTTTTTGAGCCTGCTAGTTATGCCAACGTATCTGTTACGGTCAATCTCTACACCGTTGAGTCCATATCGAATATCATCGAATATGAACGCGACGCAATTATTTCCCAATGCCACGTTAGCGCCCTGGACCACTCTGTTCTTCGTCAGTTTTCCCTCGACGTATCTGTACACACTGCCGTACGTGACTTTCGTACGGCAGTGTGTACATATCCTGTTGCTGTATAGGTATTCTTATCTCGTCGCTGTACCCGACGTTGTGTTGGCAAACGGGTTGTACGTGTGAGTCTCAATCTTGACGATGTGATCGTCGAAGATCGGCTCATCTTTAAGGTTTAGGATATCTCAAATGTTGCGCACCGCGAATCCCAAAAACTTTACAAACGTTCGACGCGCTAAACTTCTTCCCGATGCAGCTGAATGAGCGAGTGTTATCGAGCTGCGACGTAACCGGCCTTGTAAAGAATGTGTTATCTCTCTGCGTGCGATCCGTTC